GTAACAAGTTAGAATCCACAGGTCAGTGGTAAAAGTTGTCCATGTTCCCCTGACAACGGTAAAGAAGGATTTCCTCCTGGAAACAAGGTCAACATGTTATTGGCCCCCAAGATAAGGCTACCAGTCAGACCTACCATTCAACCATCACATACCCCCAAGCAGACGGAAAATTAAATGAGTGTTTATTTCACACGAAGACATATTGGTCAAGTCGCAAAACACAGTGCCTTTGGATTTATGTGTGATCGGACTGTTGAAACTGATGCTGGAAAACTATCATTCCCATACATTAGATGTATTTTGGAAAGTAGAGGGAGGAGTGCTACAACTTGGACATGACAACCTTATTATGTAGCTTTTTTCAATGTAAGCTATGCTACAGGGCTGCTTTCGAAATGCACATTCATTAGATAGAGTTTGGATGGACGCGGCAACATGGTTTGTGACGAGTTGATGGTACTCCAAACTCATTTTAATATTATGTATTCATCCTCTGTATAACTTAATTGGAAGCAATATTTCCTATGATGGTATCTACTTAGTACCACACATAAAATACCAAGTTCAATAGGTAATTAGGACAAAAGGAACCAATGTTCTGTGTTCAAACTACTATTTTAAGCTATATCCTTATAATCTAACTTTCATATTTGTTGCTAGAGGGAGCGTGTCGTGACGTCATCTAGAAAGTTAAGAATCTAGAAGTTTCGTATAGTAAATAGAAAATGAATAATGACATAAATGCTAGTTAGTTAGTTAATCAGTGAAGTATTCAGTGAATCAATGAATGAATAAGTTCAATGAGTTATTTAATTCTGTAATTCAGTTAGTATGCTAAACAGTGAGCTAGTTAGCGTGTCTGTCAGCAACTGATTTGTTAGTGAGAGTAAATTTAATATTAACAATTAAATTTATTTGTGAGTTAGACATATCATTATTTTCAGAATTTCTGTTTAAAAGTTGTTTGTGAAGTTAGGCTTACAAATGAAAATAGCCTGTAGCAAATCTTAAAGAAAAAATATATTAATTCATTACTATTACGTGGACTTGACTTTGCATTATTTTTTCAACAACAACAACAAAAAAAAAAACCTGACGATAGCACACTTTATAACACTAAATACGTTTTTTTGTGTTGTAATGGTTTGTATCGTCGGGTGTGTTATTTTTGTTAATTTAGTAAAACATAATGCAAAGTCCAGTTTACTTTATGATAATGAAAGCAATTTATTTATTTGACTGTAACGTTCAATTCTACAAGCTAAAGCCTGGACTCACAAATAGAACTAAACGTCAATTACTTATAAACTCTCTACTTTGTTGAAACACAAATTTAATATTGACAGTACTGAACTGAGTTACTAACTAAATAATTAACTAACCAACTCACTGTCTATTTTCATATTACAATATTTGTTTTCCTCAAGTATCTAGAAAATGCAAGACGTCTTGTGCAGGTCACGTCAAATCTAGACATTCAAGAAATGTCTAGGTTCAAATATCATCCCCACGTCGTAACAAAACTCCTTCTAGCAAAGAATGTAACATTTAACATAAAAATATTAGAAAAACTGCCCACAATATTGGCATAAAATTTTTCTGTTAAATAAGTGAGTAGAAAAGACGTAGTATGCCTGCATACTACACCATTTATTCGCTACTCTGTTAAGAAAACACGTACATTAAGAAAATAACGAGAAAAGCAGTCTAATTCCATTTTCTTATTTTAATGCCAACAATGGAAAAGCTATATACAACAAATGTTAACGATAGACTTATGTTTGCTAATGACACTGTGAATAGTACACAAAGAACATAAACAGTAAATTTATACTTTTTACTAATAAATGCGTCAACAGTGCACACACAATATGGAAATAACATCAATGATGCTTTGTTTCATTTATATTTTCCTGCCAAATAGACAAACGCATAATGAAACAAACGTAAACAATTGTGTTATACCATTTTTAAAGTATACATACAACATTAAAACAGTGAGAAAAATAGTCTAATCTCATTTACCAATGTCTCTATCAGAAGTGCACACAGAATAAAAGAACAAAACCTATCCGTCGAAAGTATACATACAACATTAAAACAGTGAGAAAAATAGTCTAATCTCATTTACCAATGTCTCTATCAAGAGTGCACACAGAATAAAAGAACAAAACCTATCCGTCGAAAGTATACATACAACATTAAAACAGTGAGAAAAATAGTATAATATCATTTACCAATGTCTCTATCAAGAGTGCACACAAAATAAAAGAACAAAACCTATCCGTCGAAAGTATACATACAACATTAAAACAGTGAGAAAAATAGTATAATATCATTTAGCAATGTCTCTATCAAGAGTGCACACAGAACAAAACCTAAAAGGTAACCTCATACGATTTGCTCACTGCTTTTACATCAGTCTATACATCGTATCTAAAAGTAGTCGTATACCTTTTTCTAGCTATTCAGTCAACAGCGAAAATATAAAAATTGGCAACGGAAGTCTTGCCTTACTAAAAGTGAACAGTGCACAAACAGTAACTTTATACTTATTACTAAATACCGTCTGAACATTCAACACTTTCAATGGTGTAGCGATAGATGAGGCTCCTCAAAATCACAATATTTAAAAGTTTTAATATTGGAATTGAGAGAAAAATATTCTGAAACAAGGAAATTTTTCCCCAGAGCTCTTTGAGACCTAGATACGCCACTGGTTAGCATGCCGGACTGTGGAACTGAAGTCCCTTGGTTCGTGCACTATTGCCGCCAAAAAAAAATCGCGCTCCGTACTTTGGGTGGTGAGTGCACTATAAAAGTGATGGTTAAATTCCACTAATCGGTCAGAAAAAGAGTAGCAAATGAGGTGACCTTGGGTGGTGTTGATTAATTGCTTTCCCTTTAGTATATCACTTCAACATTATGAGCGACTGCCTCAGATACCCCTCGAGTAGCTTTTCGCGAAATCCAACAAACAAACAAGATAGCGGGCTTACAATATAAAACTGAAATGAGCAGTAGCTTTTTTTGTTTTTTTTTTATCGTTTATGAATTATCCTACTAACTGCTATGTTAAATGCGCACCAAAATATAAATACAGCGTGAACATTATATTTAAGCTCTACCAAAACTGTACCAATTTAAGCTTTTATAATTTATTTATCTTGTTGGAATAAAGATTGGTACCACAGTCACTTTCGAGGTCTTTCATTACCCTCATTTTCGATTCTGCCATTGCCTGGCTTTGGCTTAGGGCCGAAATGTTGCAGCAGTGAAAATGTTAAAGTACCAGGACTGTGAATTCGAGGGTTCATGGTTCGATTTGCGTCCTGTTAGTTAGTTAATTTGTTTTTAATTATGCACAAAGTTACACAAAGGCTATCTGTGCTCTGCCCACCACGGGTATTTGAAACCCGGTTTCTAGCGTTGTAAGTCCGCAAACATGCCGCTCTGCCACTGGGGGGGGGGGGGGGACGTAGGTTTGAGGACGTAGGTACACTGTAAGAATGACAGTCAGACAAGAGATGGCAGTGGGGGCTGTTCACTAGCTGTCTTTCCTTCAGTTTAAAATGAGGGACAGATAGCTTTTATATAGCTTTGCAGAAAAATTATAAAATTAACTGCAGTGAGAAAAACTGTTTCTAAACATATTCCTTTTTCTAGCATACTAAACTGCTTCATTCGTTAAAAGAAGCAATATATAATAACGAAAAACTGTCATAGCTGCTATTTAGTGACTCGAGCAAGAAACTTCTCTTTTCTTAGCGTGAAACAAGTTGCTGAAAAT